GCACTCAGCAGAGATGCTGATTATTTTATTTAGGGATTATCTGGATCTCCAGTAAATAATGATATCAAGACAGGTATCTTAGACCTAATATCTTTTAAATAGACTTTAATTATATCTGGGGTGGAACTCCCTTCTTGAAAATTTTGATGTTTTTACTTAGATATCTGTTGAAACTGTAACTATACATTTTGTTTTCAGGGTCAATATTCCAAACAAACACTTGAAGGACTAGGGAAATTCCTGAGATATATTGAAACGCAGAACAATGTCAAGGTTAGATCATATTTACCCACAGATTTAATGATTTAATTCCCTGTCAGTATTAGCATGATGTTAATCAGCTTCATTTTATCCTAGGTATGGTATAACAATAAGGGCTGGCATGCCATGGTGTCTTTTATGAATGTGGCCAACAATGCCATCCTTCGTGCAAACCTGCCAAAGGGAGCTGATCTGAATGAATATGGGATCACTGTCATCAACCACCCTTTGAATCTGACCAAAGAGCAGCTCTCTGAGATCACTGTGTGAGTGAGCATCACCTTTATGACCTTTCCCCCATCGATTCTACTGCTTCTGTTGCAAAGGATGTTCAATTTCTCCATTCGTTAACAGAAATCAGCAAATAATGACCTTTTTTTTTTAGATATGGCTCATGGAAACGCTTCCTTTTCTCTCTTTCCCAGTCTGACTACTTCAGTGGATGCGGTGGTGGCCATTTGTGTCATTTTTGCCATGTCCTTTGTCCCAGCTAGTTTCGTCCTCTATCTCATCCAGGAGAGGGTAACTCAGGCCAAACACCTGCAGTTTGTTAGCGGTGTCAGTCCACTGGTGTACTGGATAGCCAACTTTCTGTGGGACATGGTACAGTGACCTAGTTACCTTTTACAGTTTAATCTAGGCCATGTAATTAGAGCTTGAAGTGCTTCCTGTGACTATCTCCAGATGAACTACTCTATCAGTGCTGCAATGGTGGTGGAAATCTTCCTCTTTTTCCATAAGAGATGTTATACCTCCCCAAGCAATCTTCAGCCACTCATTGCCCTACTTATGCTGTATGGGTGAGTAAAACTTATTATGTTCTCAGTTTTATCTATTTCCAAATATAGAAACTGAAACTGAAAAACAAATAGCTTAAAAAGACTACATTTGGGCTCATAACTGCTGAAATACTTGCAGACTTTCAAAATAAATGACACCCCCGGGTAAACAAATGTAAAAAAATAAATAAATAATTTATAATTTAAACCTAAGATATACAGTACAGAAGGGGTGTGCATTGGCACTGCCCTCACGATTCGATTCGATTACGATTCACCAGGTAACGATTC